ACACATTCGTGTCCGCCCCCATCCATTCTGGTTTTGTCTCTCTTCTCCACTTGACAGCCAGACATTTTGAGAATTTATTCTTCCTCATTTCCTGCTAAATTCTCACTTCACACTCATTTGGCACCTACTCCCAAAGAACCCACCTCTTGCTAAGTTCATCTGAACTCTAGACGACCAGAATCACTGACGTCGATGGGCATTTTTTCTGTACTTCTTTCACTTGACTTCTTCATGGCAACGAACACAGGTCATCATTCCCCACGCCCTGGAACATTTCTCGTCTCCTGGCTCCTGTCTCCACAGCCTTCTGGTTTTCCTCATCTTTCTTCCTCCTTCATAGGTTCAGGCCGCTCTGTCCAGTCGTAGCGATGACATTCTTCCTGTGTCTACAAGACAGCCTTCGGCCCAGTTTTCTTTCTTTTCCCTCCTCACCAAGCTCATGCACGGCCATTGCTCTAATCAACACACGATCCCAAAGTTACAAATCCAGAGCAGACCTCTCCTCTGCCTTCCATATATTCAACAACAATACTGGGTATCACAAAGCCGACTTGAACAGAGACCTAAAATTAGAACCATTTCTCCTGCACTTCCCTGCCCGCCTCCGCTCCTCCAAACCTGTCACTCTCCCAAAGGACTCATTTTTAAGGCCACACCATATACCCTAGATCAACATTAGAGTGTCAAATGTGACGCTTCTCTCTTCTTCCGCCAACTGATCTGTTGTTAATTCCGGACACTGGTTTCTTATGACAGCTCCTAAATCCACCCATTTCTATCACCAAATATCAGTCTAAGCTACTATCACCGGCACAGCAACCTCCCAACTGGTCTTCCTGCAGCCACACCCACTCTTGTCTAATTTGTTCTATGGGATACAGGACCAGCGAGGCGCCAGTCTCTGATAACCATTCCAGCCTCAGTCCATCCCATATGCCTTGCCTTCCATTCTCTAGCCACTGCTTTCCTAGCTTGCTCACTCCTGCTTTGTCACCGCAGGACCTTTGCACATGTCATTTACGCTACCAGGAATGCTAATTTTCTAAATTCCCACTCCCTCGGACCCCAGCTCAGATTTCTCTTTCTCAGGAAAGTCTCCTTGCTCCCTCAAACGCCCCTCGTCCACCATTCTTTTGGGTACCTTCCCTTCCCTGTCCTGTCACAGGTGTGATCTTAACCTTTACTCTTATCATTCGATGTCTCCGTCTTCCAGCGACACCGTGCATGCCAAACCCACAAGGCCTGGTTTCCGCTCACGGTCATACTCCACGGCCAGTTTCAGTATGTGGACGGCACTCGGGAAAAGGTTTTTTATTATTTATTTTATTGTTGTTCAAGCCCTAGGGATGCAGGAAAGCTTTAGAAGCACAAAGGGAAATTTGGCACATGGTAGATTTCCAGGGCCAACTCCTGCAGCTTATGATTTTCTGTCAAGAGGAAACAAAAGCGTAATTCGATGGCATCTTCACAGTTTATTCCTGCCAGTTCTGCTTTTCTATAAATACAGTCCTCACTTCCAAGGGATCTGGAGAAGATGGCCGTGGTTGACTATTTGGGGGAGGCCCTCTGATTTCAGATGGGATGCTGTCATCTCTCTGCTCCTGGGGCAGGTGTGTGGTGTGGTGGACACCTGTTGCTGATTCCACAGAAGCTGGACATGTCAGGCTCAGTGCTTCACAGGACCTGGGCAGGGCCTCTGAAGGCAGGCCGAAAGGCATGTCGAGGTCATCTCCATGAGGACCCATTATTTGGTGTTCTATCCATTCCTGTTGTACTCCTCCCATCGTGTAATGCCAGATGCTTCTAAGAGAAGCTCCCTGTCCTGTTGGCCTTTCACCACCATCCAAAGTTCAGCGCTGAAGACCTTTTAAGGACACCAGCCTTCAGCTTGGAATACAAAGATGTCTGAGCAGCATGGAACATGGAAAGCAGTCTCTGATAAACTCAAGTAACTGTTGATGCCAAAACTGAGGAAAATGTTGAGATCATCATTTTCCATTGTGGTTCTCTTATTGCTAATACAACTTACAAAGCAAGATTTCTGGGTGTACCTTTGAAAATGCTGTATACACAGACACATGCATTCTGTAACTTGAGTTACAGTGAAACTACAGTATAGCTAATTCTGGCAAATTAGAACTGTAACTCACCATGGCAATAACAACAGGCCAAGTATGCATTATATCAATGTCCTTTTGTGTAATCAAGAAAGCACACAAGTTTAAATGCAAATACATAATATAAATGTAATATCTGGGCTTATTCTGTATATTTAAAATTGCAGAAATTGTACATCTGAAAATACGTTACATACACATATGTATACACATGACAAATAAATGCATAATGGTTAAAACTGGTCAACCAATTAACATTCCCACAATCAGTCAATCCTCTTGTATATTTAATACTTGACGCTTAGCCACTCATGGCAAAGTTTGTACTTCAAAGTACTATTTGATCGTACATACAATTTATCATGTTAAACATCCTTCAGTTGTCAATTTTTTTCTCTGTGAAGCTAAGAACTAGCACAGGAAGTCTCTCTTAATTTACAAAAGTCAGGAATATTATTTCTGAATCCAGTTAAGTACAAAACATACTAGAGTCCACACCACTGACTTAAACTAAAAAACCAGATCAGCTGGTTACAGCATAAACCCATCCATTTATCATGGTTTATAGAGCCCATAGCCTATCTCCTATTTTCTCTAATTCAGGAGCTGACTGTCCTTTAAAGAAAGCCACACAGGGACTTCATTCAGTGGCTGAGACTCCACGCTCCCAATTCAGGGGGGCGGGGGTCGATCCCTGGTCAGGAAACTAGCTCTCACATGCCACAACTAAGATCCTACAGACTGCAATGAAGACAGAAGGTCCCACATGCCATGACCAAAACTTGGCACAGCCAAATAATAAAATAAATATATTTTTAAAAATAAATAAAACACATGGAAATATTATATTCATCTGCCAAATTAACCAGTTTGGCCACTGAGGTCATAATAACTTGCTAAGAACGGTCAACACTAAGATAGATTAAAGTTTCAACTTTGCCTATCTCAGGTCTTAATTCTTCCTCTCTAAAGTTTTCAATGAAAAAATTTTCAGACTTTAATGGTTCATGAGTAGTCTGATGTCACTGGATCTGCATCCATCAAAGGACGAGTTCTCTGACACCTTAAAGAAGTCAGCACAAAGGTTCAGGTGCCTTTTTGCACAAGAAGCATCGGAGCTTTGCCCTACGGTCTTGCCAAATGGACCAAGGCAAGCTCATAAATGTCCAGAGGAAATGCATCCACTACAGCACTGTTCAGGAGTTCATGCTGACACATGGCAATTATTTAAATGTATTATATAGGATTGTTTCATTATAAGCTATTTTCATAGCACAGTCAGGAGGACCACAAAGGAACTTGTGGAATCTTTATTATTTTTTTCCAGCGCTTCCAGAACATTCCCTGTTTCTTTCCTGTTCACATCTGACCCCTCACTTTGCCTGAGAATATATTTCATTTAGATTTCTCTTCTCCAAGGCAAGGCTGTAAGTGCCCTTTTCTGTTTCACTCTGGGGGGATATAGAAGAGTCATCTGTTTAGAGTTTTGCTTGCATGAAAAACTCTCAGGAGTGTTTAGAAGTATGTAAATGACCTACATGCTTTATGACACCTTAACAAGCCCATATAATGATCAAAAGCCAGGGAGAACGCATTCAGGTGAAGAGACTGTCAGCGGGGTGACCATTTAGAGATTCATGAAATTCACAGGTTCATTCTAATCTCAGGAAGGAATGAACAAATGATGGCAACAGGACATCGAGGCTTCCATCTCAGAAACAGAAAGCACCAACTGGGGATGGCTACATGAAAACTGGTACAGATTTCAAGACTTGGCAACCTTCCTATCTCTGTTTTTCTCTTTCATTCCTCAAAGCAACCAGCATGAAAATTCTCAGCTCTGTAGACAAGGTACGAGAAGCAGATTGCCTATTTCACACTTTGGGAGTGAGCCGCAGCGGGTAGAGGACCAGGAAAGAGAGAAGGTGATGATTCTGAGGAGGAGGGAGAACAGGACATGGGGTTAGAAGCAACTAAAAGCCCCAGAGTAGCCCTGGATGACCTGTGTACTTACGTATCAAAATCAGAATGAAACAAAGAGAATGAGTCTGCATGGCTCCTCCATCATCTCATCTCAAGCCCAACAGAGTGAAATCAGAACTCTTAGCATTTCTTTCCCTACACATTTCTCTCTGTAATACTCTTATCAAAAAAAAAAATTCACATGAAATGCCACCATGAACATCCTACTAATACTTCGTCATGTAAGGTACCATTCTCACCCCATCTCACAAATGAGAAAACTGGGGTACAAGGTTCAATCAACCAAGGTCATGCAACTAACAAGTTTCAGAGCTGTACTTGAAGCTAGGTCATCTGACTCCAGAGTCTGTGCTTGTCAGACCCCAGCCCTGCTGACTTTACCTAGATTCCTTTGCTGTCGACTAGGCTATGAACTAGAGAGTTACCTTTGTCATTCTGCAATGTTGTTTCACTTATTCAAGATTCTTTCTCCATGAAAAAACCTACTCCTATCTGCCAACGACCATACACAGCTTACATTCTGCTCTGTGTTGATTTTTTTACCGGAGAAGGGAAAATAAGGACGAAAAATAAGAAATGGATTGTCAATGCTGGAATGAAAGCATTCAACTATGGGCAAGGTGTAGCTGTAAGTTCAGGTATTTATAGATCAAATCAAAGTGGTGGTTATATAAACTGAAAAGCAACAACAAAATACCCAAGACTCGTGAAAACACATAGGATCTAAAAGCCATTTTCAATCACACTGAAGAATTATTCCACACGAGAGCAATTCCAAGGCTTGATTTTTTTCTTTCCTTTGGTTCAGGCAGCCAACTGTAATTAAATTCTACTAACAAACGTACCAAGTTGAAGTCAACAGACGCCCAACGAAAAATCAAGGTAAACAAATGATCTTACCTGCAGATGTGTGTTTGAACTTTTCACTTTTCTTCTTCCTCCATTTCCAAGGCTTGAAGATCCTTCCTAGGTTGGCAAACTTACTTCTCCTCCGGATGGGTGGGGTGTGGGTGCCTGGGACGAGGGAGTCAGAACGCATGGCCGCCAGCCTCTCCACTTCCTCAGCTTGTTTTCCCGAGGAGGAGATGGAAAAAGGAGAAAGAAAAGTGTTAAAACGGGAGCCTCACAGATGGCCAATGTTTTCCATGGTTACAGATAACAGAAATCACATGACCGAACTTCCGTTTCTCTTTCTGCCTTTTGGAATGGAAGTCATACCAATGTGTTCTAAAGGCTGGTGACAGTCAGCCAAACCCTAGAGGATCTGGAGCACCCAAAACGGATTTGGCCAACCTTAACCTAGGCTTGAGAAGAAGGACAAGGAGGACCAGAGCCCTCCTGACACAGACTCCCAACAAGGTGAGGACAGGGCGTGAGGAGAGTGAAGTGAGTCAGTGTAACTACTGGTCCAGCACTTTCTCAAGCAAGACTTGGCAGATGCTATCACTGTAACACCGTCTGCTGAGAAAAGAAGGGGAAAACATTTACCAACCGTCCGTTCCAATGCCAACATTTCCACCACCCACGACGCTCCTTCCTAGGATGATGCTTCACTCAGACGGGCAGAAGCACTAGACTCTACTGAATGAGTGGCTCCACCTTAAAAATCCAACTGACTGTTTCCAGAACCACACTTCAATAGATCTTATAATTGCTTTAATTCCTCTAGGTCTTTTTGTTCCTGGTGCTTTGCTTTAATAAAAAATTCTTAGAAATTGAGAGTTGAGAGTGATACTAGGTACCGTCTAGACTCATCCCAACAACTTGACATTTGAGGACATGAAGACCTTCAAACTCATAACGCCTCGGTGACCCTTTCTTAAGGGCCGCAATCACTCTGACTCCTTTTATCACTTGGGACAAAACTCTTTCCCAATGTACTTGAGCAGCTATAGCTCTCAGGGAGGTAAAGAGACCCCGACTTGAATTTTTATGACAGGAATAATCAGAGAAAGTAACCTCATTGGCAAAATCAAGGCAGGCGGGAGGGACCTGCCTTTCCAGAAAGTCCAGTTACATCTAGAGTTGAGACCAACGCAGAACTACTCTGCTGGGCCTCTAACATCATCCTTCAGAAAAACCTGGACTTTGCAACACAGGTTGATCTCTGAAGCTCAATCTCACAGCCTGATGTTCTACCTGCTGTCAGCCAGTATGGTTTGAACTCAGGAGATTCAATTATTCAACAGGAAGAGACAGAACAGCATTGAAACATATACACTGCCATGAATGAAGTAGATACCCAGTGGGAATTTGCTATATGATTCAGGGAGTTCAAAGGGGACATATGTATGCCTATGGCTGATTCCTGCTGACGTATGGAAGAAACCAATACAACACTGTAAAGCAATTATCCTCCAATTTAAATAAATGAAAAAAACCAGACCTATATATGGAACCTCAACCGTGTGTCAGGCAGTGTGACAGTGACTGATGATGGCAGGCTGGTGAAGGTTATGTCAAGACTGAAAGGAAGCAGGTGAATTTTAGAGACGTCTGGGAAGCCAAGTCAACAGGACCCAGGACTGACTGGGTGGGTGAGGGGAGGAGGCAGATCATTCCTGATGCCCCATGGATCATGTCAGTGGAATGGCCCCCTCCATTGCTGGAATCAGGGAACACTGTGGGGGCATGAATTTGGGGGACGGTGGTGAGCAGCCAACGATCTGAACATGTTGCATTGTGAAAGCACTTAACCCTTTGATTATAGGGTTCAGTGCATGGGGAACCCCTCTCTTCCATCACTGTCTTACGTGACCACTTAATGCTGAACCAGACACTGATCTTTCCTGGAGCAGATACACCGAAGAACTGGACATGGTTGGGCAGACTCTAGAGGGGGGGACAGTGGCATCAGTGTGGAAAATTCCACTGTCAGGGGGAAACTGCCAAATTCAACGGAGGCAAAGAGGACAGAGGGCGGACTCTTCTTCACTGCTGGAGAAGACCCCAGGGTGTGCCATTTGGGGCGGGATTTTAGAGAAGGAACCGTTCTCCTGACATGGGGAAGAGGAGAAGTGGATCCCTGGAAGGAGAAAGAGACCGAAAAGGAACAGAGCGGGCTGAAAGAATACGGCATGCCTGGGAGCTACAAGAAACCCAGGGAACCCACGGGGTCAGCTACACTGGGTGAGACGGGGAGTCGGTGGTGAGAGGCGGGGGATGGGTCTGGAGCCAGACTCTGCAGGCCTTCGGAAAACTGGGTGTTTGGGTTTGACCCTATTTGCAGAGGGAGATGGATGAGAATCTGAAAATGGGAATTGACATTATTACATTCAACGAATACTTTCGGAGTGCTCACTGTGTACCAGACACTTGGGCTATGTCAGTAAACAGGAGATTAAAAATACCAACTGATGGAGCTTCCACTGGGGTGTAGGGTGGAGAGCAGGCAACACACAGTCAAAGTAAGTACACCGAACAGTATGTTAGCAGACAGCTGCTTGAGGGAGAAACGAAAAGGTAAGTATGACAAGTAAATGCTATTAAGAGTGTCTAGGTGGGGGAGGGACTCAGTTTTAAACAGTCTGATTGAGAAGACAAACGACCGGGACACAATATCAGATTTGTGTCTGAGAAATATCACAGTAACAGCCACGGCATCTTGGAGTGGAGTGGGAAAAGACAGGCCGCGGGGAGAGTAACAAAGGAAGCTACCAAACGTGTCTCGAGGGTAGTGACGGGGGGACACGGAGAAAAGATGTGATTCGGCAGAGAGAGAGCCAACACACCGTGCTCATTGTCTAGATCCACACGGCGGAGGACAAGAAAGCAAGAATGAGGTTTTCGCTTCCCATGACCAGGGAGACAATGTAGACTTTACGTGTTTTAATGGACTCTGACCAGAAAGGAAAGAAGCAGGAAAGGATGGTTGATCAAGGACAGGGCTTTGAAGCCAAATAATGAAGTCTTTTTTTTTTTTTTTTCTTTAGGGAGTTGGATTTTATTTCTTAAGCTCATGGAGAACTACTGAAGGAAGTTTGTCAGGAAGGGGTGGGAAGACAGGATCACATTACTAGGCTGAGCAGCAAGAGCGAGTGGAGAGCAAGAGACTGAAGATGCAGGGATGAGATTGGGAAGTCCGTGACACAGGGGTCTTAGGGAAGAGAAGAGGTGGGATCAAAAGTACTTACAGAAATTAGTCATCAAAGACTTTACTCTGAGCAACGAACATCTGAACCGAGGTCTCTGATCACAAATGGCACGGATCAGATGTGAGCCTCAGGAAGATGAATCTGGCAGCAATGGATAAAGTGGATTATTGGAGACTGAAGAGACAAAGATAAAGATGGAAGAGACTTCTTTAAGTAAGTCTGGGTTACAGAGAGGCTGAGCAGACTGGTTTAAAAAAAAAAAAAACTGCAATGAGGAAATAGAAGCCAAATGGAGCAAGTAAACAGCCTCTGGAGCAATACTGATTTTGGAAATTATTCTCTTTAAAGGGTACCAGCTGCTTGAGTTGAGCATGCCAAGTTGCTTCTATCGTGTCCAACTCTTTGTGACCCCATGGACTGCAGCCCACCAGGCTTCTTGTCCATGGGATTCTCCAGGCAAGAATACTGCAATGGATTGCCATGCCCTCCTCCAGGGGACCTTCCTGACCCAGGGATTGAACCCGTGTCTCATGTCTTCTGCACTGCAGATGGGCTCTTTATCACTAGAACCATCTGGATGCCCCCTCAACAATGCTCAACAGCTGGGAAGAGGCACAGAGTGACAACTGTGGGAAGCCACACCGAGGAGGGTTTGAGACCAGGATGGAAACCAACTCAAGACAGTCCGGTGATCTGACTCCTATAAGATCACTTTCGCTTTTGTGGCCACCACCTTTGAAAAACTTCTTACCTTAGCTGATAATCTCAGCTTGTCCAGATGTTGCACCTACCTTCCTTATCTAGTCTCCTGCCTTCAAACTTACATGTTAAACTGTTGCTAGATTACTTCTCTCAGAAATTTCCAATGGCTCCCCGTAACTTACAGTAGAAAGTTCTGGTTTCTTGCTTTGACCTTCAGGAATCTCCATCTAAGTTCCTCCCCAGAATGATCTTCTAGTACTTCACTAAACAGATGCTGCAGCCCAAATGAAACACCGCCTAGACCCAACGGACTTGGGGAGAGGGAAATCAAACCACTAGAAATTATATGCAAAATTTCGTATCTATTTGAGTATCTGCATTTGGCTGGAGGAGTTCCCATCTTTTGAGTCTCCAAACAGTCTAAGACACAAAAGGTGAAAAATTTAAAGCATCCAGGGACTTTCCTGGTGGCTCAGAAGTAAAGAATCCACCTGTGAAAGCAGGAGACATGGGTTCGACCCCTGGTCCGGGAAGATCCCACATGCCTCAGAGCAACTAAGCCAATGCGCCACAATTCTTGAGCTTGTGCTCTAGAACTCGGGAGCTGCAACTACTGAACCCACATATCAGAATTACTCAAGCCCACAACCCCAGAGCCTGTGCTCTGAGGCAAGAGAAGACACTGTAAAGAGAAGCCTGCACCCCTCAACTAGAGAAAAGCCCGCACAGCAACTAAGACCCAGCACAGCCAAAGATAAATAAACCAAAAAAAAAAAGTTTTTTTTTTAAACTAAAACATCCAGGTTGAGGCCTCTATGAGTTCAGCCAACTTAAATCATCTTCTGCTAAGGATTAAAGGGAGAGGGTATATATACTGAAGCCGGAAAAAAAAAAAACAAACCCAGATACAAGTTATTCAGGATTGCCATGGAGTCCACTCTCATAGTTGGTGCTTCCTAATGGTCTGTTCGGTCAGTAAATGAATGAGGGCATCTGACCCCACTCATTCACACCATCTTGAAAGGTATGAAAATCATCATCCCTACTCGACCCAGAAAAATGCATCGCAAGGACCCAAAAGCTCTTTCACAATCATAACTTTCAGAAATGAATAGAAATTATTCTGAAATTACCATGCTAAAATAATTATAAGAAATTAGAAGTGCCTTTGAAAAATTTAGAGTAGAAAAGAGCTGACAAAACATTATAAAGGCCTAATTATAACTCCACCGTTAAATGAACCCTTATGAAGTATATTACTAAATCCAA